ATCTTAATGGCGCTAGTGTTAAGGTTGTCAGCTGTATTATCCAGAGAGATGAAGGGCGTCCGCCAATGCGACACTCCTTCCAATGGTCTGTTGACAAGCTTTATTATGAGGAGGATCCAATGCTTCGCCATGTGGAACCGCCGTTGTCTACATTCCTTGAGCTGGTATGTAGCTATATTCATACTTTTTCATATTCTTTTAATATCCTCTGACTATAACTGCACCTCTTTACCATTTTTCTGTAAATACAGGAAAAAGTAAATTTGGAAGGTTACAATGAAATAAAATACAACCCATCACGTGATCGCCAGTGGCATATTTATACACTTATCAAGAACAAGAAAGATCAGAGATTAAACGACCAGAGGATGTTCCTTCGTACCATAGTCAGACAACCAAGTGCAACAAATGGTTTCCTGTCAGGTAATATTGACAATGAAGTAGGCCGTGCACAAGCTTCATCGTCGTTCACATCAAACAGCATTCTCAGATCATTGATGGGAGCACTAGAAGAAATAGAGCTACATGCTCATAGTGAGACTGTGAGATCAGGCCACTCACACATGTATCTGTGCTTACTGAGAGAACAACAATTGCATGAACTAATCCCATTTTCAAGGTCAGTCAATGCACCTTGTCTTTTTATGTTGCGGATATGAAGGATAGGTTGTTAATTTGCTTGAAGTTATCCACTTCTGCTATTTCATTGTGCAGGATGACTGATGAAATTGACCAGGACGAAGGAACTGCATGTACACTTTTGAAGCAAATGGTATTGAATTTATATGAACATGTTGGGGTCAGGATGCATCGGCTTTCTGTGTGCCAGTGGGAAGTCAAGCTCTGGTTGGTTTGTGACGGGCAAGCTAGTGGTGCTTGGAGAGTTGTTGTTACCAATGTTACTGGCCACACCTGCACCGTTGATGTAAGTTCTTTGACAACTCACTACTTTTACCAGAAATAATCATAACAATAATTTAGCAACGACTGTGAAGAACTAAAGATTTCTACCACCTGTCTGATATGCATAAAACTTGACAGTAATCACACCCTCATAAACTACCATACATGTTTCTTTAGCTAATAACAAATGCTCCGTATGCTAAGTATTTTTGACCATTTACTTTTAGCTAGAAGGATATCATTTGCACTTTTTGATGTGCTTATGTTCAAATTCTTTCTCCCAGATTTACCGAGAAGGGGAAGACCCCAGCACACATCAGCTTGTCTACCACTCTGCCACAGCCACGGCTGGTCCTTTGCATGGTGTTGCATTGAATGAACCATACAAGCCTTTGGATGCTATTGACCTCAAACGTTATGCTGCTAGGAAAAATGAAACCACATACTGCTACGATTTCCCCTTGGTAAGTTGCTTGTAGCTCCTTGTTTTTCTAACTTTAGTTATGGCATGCTTAAAGAGACCAATTCATACCAGTAATACTGTTTATGCAGGCATTTGAAACAGCGCTGAAGAGATCATGGAAATCAAGTAGCTATGGTGTTAGTGAAGCTAATGAGCACAATCAACTCTATGCTGAAGTGAAAGAGCTTATATTTGTTGATTCGGTTGGAGCATGGGGCACTCCATTGGTTTCAGTTGAACGTCCTCCAGGCATCAATGATATCGGCATTGTTGCTTGGAACATGAAGCTGTCCACGCCAGAATTCCCAAGTGGCCGGGAGATTATAGTTGTTGCCAATGATGTGACATTTAAAGCTGGGTCCTTTGGTCCAAGAGAAGATGCATTTTTTTATGCTGTTACCAGTCTTGCCTGTGAGAGGAAACTTCCTCTTATCTACCTGGCAGCAACTGCTGGTGCCAGGCTTGGTGTAGCAGAGGAAATAAAGTCATGCTTCCATGTCGGCTGGTCTGATGATGAGAGCCCTGAACGTGGTTTTCAGTACATTTACCTCACTACACAAGATTACTCACGTCTAAGCTCTTCAGTAATAGCTCACGAGCTGCAACTAGAAAATGGAGAAACCAGATGGGTGGTTGATACCATTGTTGGTAAAGAGGATGGACTTGGTTGTGAGAATCTCCATGGAAGTGGTGCGATTGCCAGCGCATATTCTAAGGCATACAAAGAGACCTTTACTCTGACATTTGTGACTGGAAGAGCTGTTGGCATTGGGGCTTATCTGGCTCGTTTAGGTATGAGGTGTATACAACGTCTTGATCAACCAATTATTTTGACTGGGTTTTCTGCACTCAACAAGCTTCTGGGGCGGGAGGTGTACAGTTCTCATATGCAATTGGGTGGCCCCAAAATCATGGCTACAAATGGTGTTGTCCACCAAACTGTGTCAGATGACCTTGAAGGTGTTTCTGCTATCCTGAAATGGCTCAGTTATGTTCCTCCATATGTTGGTGGTCCTCTTCCCATTATGAAACCCCTGGACCCACCCGAAAGACCAGTAACATACTTCCCTGAGAATGCTTGTGATGCTCGTGCAGCCATCTGTGGCATTCAGGATGGTGAAGGGAAGTGGTTGGGTGGTATGTTTGATAGGGAAAGCTTCGTGGAAACATTGGAAGGTTGGGCAAAAACAGTTATCACCGGAAGAGCAAAGCTTGGTGGAATACCAGTTGGTGTCATAGCTGTGGAAACCCAGACTGTGATGCAAGTCATCCCAGCTGATCCAGGTCAGCTTGATTCCGCTGAGCGCGTAGTCCCTCAAGCAGGTCAGGTGTGGTTCCCAGATTCTGCAAACAAAACAGCTCAGGCATTACAGGATTTCAACCGTGAGGAGCTTCCACTGTTCATCCTTGCAAACTGGAGAGGTTTCTCTGGTGGGCAAAGGGATTTATTTGAAGGAATCCTTCAGGCTGGTTCAACAATTGTTGAGAATCTGAGGACATACCAGCAGCCTGCTTTTGTATATATCCCAATGGGTGGAGAGCTACGGGGAGGGGCCTGGGTTGTGGTGGACAGCAAGATCAATCCGGACCACATAGAGATGTATGCCGAGAGGACTGCGAAAGGGAATGTCCTTGAGGCAGAAGGATTGGTGGAGATAAAATTCAGGCCAAAGGAACTGGAAGATTGCATGCTAAGGCTTGACCCAGAATTGATTGGCCTGAATGCTAGGCTGAAAGAGATGAAGAAACAAAATGCCAGCATCCCGGAAATGGAGACCATCCAGAGGACTATGACTATTCGGATGAAGCTGTTGATACCTATTTATACTCAGGTTGCCACACGGTTTGCCGAATTGCATGACACCTCTGCTAGAATGGCCGCCAAAGGTGTGATCGGTAAGGTTGTTGATTGGGAAGAGTCTCGGGCCTTCTTCTACAGGAGATTGCGAAGGAGAGTTGCTGAGGATGCCCTGGCCAAGGAAGTTAAAGAAGCTGCTGGTGAGCAGCTTTCCCACAGATCAGTATTAGACTCTATCAAGAAATGGTATCTAGTGTCCAAAGGAATTGAAGGTGGTAGTGAAATGTGGAATGATGATGAATCTTTCTTTACTTGGAAGAATGATCGCAAGAACTATGAGAATTATCTTGAGGAGTTGAAGGCTGAAAGAGTATCTAACTGGTTCTCGCATCTTGCTGAAAGTTCAGATGTCAAAGCTCTACCAAACGGTCTTTCGCTCCTCCTTAACAAGGTAATTTTCTTCTAACTTGTTTGAGCAGACCTTTTTTTTTCTATAAGATCAACGTCCTGAATTCTTAATTCTGGTACAGATGAATCCTTTGAAGAGGGAGCAGGTCATTGATGGCCTCAGGCAACTTCTTGGTTGATCGATGGTGGCATCGCATTCCAACTGGAAAATGTCCTCTGTTTTTGCACATAAACTATGTGTTCTTGAAGATCAAAGTGGAGCATGAAACCCTGCTTAGTTGGGAACGAATTGTTCTGTTTGTAATCATGTATTTAGCTGTTTATCCTGTAATTAGTTGGGTGGCGTTTCTCGATGTCAGCAATCCTGATCAAGTAATTATTTACTTTCAATCCAAATAATACATGATTTTCATCAGTTAGCTTTGCGCTTGTACTATGCATAGGCATAGTAGATATCTGAGTGCATAGTAAAAAACTACGTATTGAGAAAAGCTAAAATATCTTATAATTTGAAATTGAGAGAGTAGTAGTTAAGATGTTCAGAATAGCATCCGGTTAACATTTGCAAATTTGAACTACTTATGTGCGTAAGATGGAACATCCGGTGGGTGTAACTTAAGCTGCTTGCTTCTCACCCTACACTGGTCTTGGTATTCTGCCCATTGTTCCAATATGAAGCATCCATAGGGACTTCCTCCAATTTGAGCTTGCACATTCCATATTTAAAAAACTGGGTTGCAACTGTCCGCTTCACTGATTCGTTGATTTGTTGTGAGAGAAAAATACTATTCCTTCGTTGAACTGGGGTTGTTTGGCATCTTGGAATATATATAGTAGTGTGTTGTGTAATGTTCCCCAGTTGTGGTGCGTGTATATATATTTTTTTATCATTTTGAAGTGTTGTTTGTTATACCTTGTCAAAATCTGTAACGAACTTGGATAACTGCCAGTAGGATAAAATTGGGGAATCTTAAAGAACATAGAAGAATATGGCTGAATCCCCCATGTGCCTTCTCCCGTTACAAGCGTCCTCTCTTATCCAATTTTAGCGGTAATATACTATTAGGGGAGATTGAGTGATGGTCATTTGCTGGTGGATACCCACTTTGAAGCATTTTACTAGAAGACATTCTTATTCGTTGAAATTAGGCCACAGAACACCGCGGGCCGGTTTCAGCCGATTGAGGAGAGAGAAAATTTCATTTTAGACATCCGATGCCCCTGAGCCACACTTGGGTCCGCTCCCAACCTGATCTGGTTGGACCACGTAAGAACCGCGTTGCGCCGTGGAAGCAGGGGAACGAGCCGCGGAGCCCAGGTGGAGCCAGGAGACGAGCGCGTCTTCCGCGGCGGAACAGGAGGCGGCGCGGGCGCGGAGGCGAGCAGCTAGGAGGTGAGCAGCTAGGAAGCGGTCTAGATCCAGCGCCGATGGATCCTGTTGGGAGCTCCAGGCGGCCCCAATCCAGCAGAGGAGGGAAAGGATGCGGGGAAGCTAGCTGGGACCGAAGACGGCGTCCTCGCCTGCGCCGTCGCCGTCGCCGCCTCCAACTTCCTCACCCGTACGAGGTCTGGTCGTTGTTGCCGTTGCCATGGTGGAGGTTCACCTACGCCAGACTTGCGGCGCGCCGTGCTGCCGAGCCCGCCACACTGGAGCCGCCCGCCGCAGTCGCCCGTGGCGCAGTGGAGCTGCGCGCCGGCGCCCGCGAGGCCCGTGCTAGGGTGCACGCCCCATCGACCCCGACCGCGTGCTGCGGCTGGCCCACGCCGCCATCCGACGCACGCCGCTGCTCGTGTCGCTTTTCGACCGCTGCTTCCTGCCTTGCTGCCCCTGCCTCAGGGGGAACCCAGTGTTCTTCGTCACCGACGCCCGCGTCCTCGGCCTCCTCCACTTCTTCACCCGTGACGCATGCTTCCAGTCGCTAGACCTGCGAGCGCCGGCGCTGTCGCAGCAGCGGCACGCCGCGCGAGGCCACCGTCAGCGCCGCCACGCCGTGCACGCGCCGCAGCCTCGACGCGGCCTACGGCGACAAGGCGCCGCGCTGGATCGAGTTCTGGAGCGACGCGGCGTGCGACCGCCGCCGCCGCCGCGACTCGTCCTCCTCAGAGGCGTCCACCGCGTCGCCGCGGTCCTCCGGCAGACCAGGAACCCGCACTGGGTTGACAGCTACCTTGACCGGCTGGGCCACGTCCTGAGGCAGGGTGGGTGGAGGGACACAGAGGTGACTTGAACCTAATGCATCAACTTTCTCAGCTCTGATTATTGGCCAGTGCAAGAAGCAGAACTCAGAGTGTGCATTAGATCTGTTGAATGCAATGAAGAAAGCTGGATTTCTCTTGCGTTTTCGAGAAAAAAAAAGAAAGCTGGATTTCAACCGAATTACTACACATATAAGATTGTGGTATCCACTTTCTCTAAGAACAAGGATTTTGAAGGCGCAGTTGATGTTTTGAAGGATATGCTCAGGAGGTGCATTGCTCCTGACAAAGCCTTGTTGCGTGAGTTCTTCGAAGGCCTCTCTGAAGCTAAAAAACTGCACCGGCAGCTGATCTTCGTTCAGTGGCTAATGGCGCAAGATTTATTTCTGATGTCTACTATACTGGTGATTATTATAGGAATATAGATGAAGAGAAAATAACATGTTAAGACGCATCCTGAACTACAAAATCTCATCAATATGTATGATTTGTTGGCTAAGTGGAACCAGATTGATCAAAGAAGTCAAGAAGTCCAATCTTTATTAACACGTAAACTTGTTTAGGAATCTGCTATGGAGGAGTTTTTTACACTCATCCTGTTCAGCAATTCTTGCTGTAGCTTGTTCATGATGGATTGCCAAAATCCAAATGCTGTGGAACAATAGTATGGCAAAACTTTGGGTGCAGTAGAAACCTGGTGTTCTGCCTACCACAGAGAGGGGACATCTGTGACAAAAAAAAAAACTTCTATAATCAGAGGTTGGTAACTCTGTGGCCTTGCTCTTTTCTGCCAGGAGACCTTTCTGAAACTACTTTGAACTGTACTCTCTGCCATTGTTTACATGTTTGGCATATGAATACTTTACTACTTAAGAGAGGCAGGTAGAACATCTCTAGTCATCCTTATCTTGCATGATATACATCGAAACAAATTGTAGTTATAATTATTTGGAAGTGTACATCTGAAAAGTTAAAGTTTTGCAAACTTTCGTCTGAACACCAAACAAATTCTTCTAGTTTGCAACTTTAAATTGGCAGTTGACAGATCTTGTCAATGAAAACTGTTGTTTCCACTTTGTTTTGAATCTCAGAGGTTTCGACCTTCACATGTATAAATCTGTTTCTTGCCTCAGGCTGCATACATCAGAAATGGACATCTACACTATAATAGCATGTATAAGTGCAATATTCTGTCAGATGAGAAAATTGGGAAAACTTTATATTGTCTTTTTGCCTGCGTAATTTGGTCCAGGGTACTTGCGCATAACCAACCCACAATTTGTTACTGCTGTTTCCACAACGAAAGAAGCCTTCAATCTTCTGACTCAACACGATCACCGAACACTGCCAACATAAGGTGCCAGAAGAGTGTCAGATTCTCAACAAGATATGGATCCATAAGACCGTACTCCTACTTCCTAGACTTAAAACTTCTGCATGGAGGCTTCTACGATAGGAATTAGCTACAAAAGAGTGCGCTGCAAGGGTTTTTTTTTCCCCTTTCTTTTCTTTTCTTTCTTTCTTTTGGAAACACATAGACAAGCACAACAAGGAACGCAGTAAGATTGAAATTGATCAACACTTGTTCTTCCATTGTAATTTTGCTAGGGAGGTTTGGTTCAGCTCAGGTCCTCCAACACGAACCGACTTTATTCCAGTGGAGGTCGATGGCATCCAAAATTCCATTGCTAAAATCCTGCCGCCCACATCAAAAGAATGCCTTGCGATTCAGCAGGAAGTGGAGGAGAGTTTACATGGTACCCATGAAACTCAAGCTGACATACACACAACTGTTCTTTCTCTAACACGTGCAGACACAACAGAACCCTTGATCTACACAGCACACTGGCAACCGGGGCACGACCATCCACTAACCACTACCCACCATTCCACCAACACCACCGCAGGTATGCAAAACCCTTTGCCCTCGGGTGGTGGAATCTATTGGAAATATGTCAGTGTGGCCCTCCTCACCTTAGGCACGCATGCAAGAGACCGAGGGACTCGGTCCTTTTGGATGGAGTAGCACGGAAGGGAGGAAAGGAGAAACTTGCATTTTTACCGGCCCAGACAATGCGCTTCGCAAAACTAGCATCCGAAACGTTGGTTTCGTAAAAATAGCAGCATAAACGTTTGCTTCTTGTTTTCTTAAACACTTTTCCTCTTTTCCTCCTTTCTCTTTATTTCTCCTCAAATTTGCCACTGAAACGACGAAACTGCCCGTGTGCTAATTGAGATGCTAATTGACGCGAGATCCACTGCTAATGGGCAGCGCTGGTCGCCGCTGCACTGCTGCAGGCCTGGGCTGACTACCTGCCATAGATGGCCAACGGGCCGGCCCGGGCCCGGGCCAGGCACGGCCCGCAAGGGGTCGGGCCGGCACGGCACGTTGTGCCTCTCGGGCCGTGCCTCTCCGGGCCACGTGCCTGGCCTTCGGCCCAGGCACGGCACTATGGGTCGTTTATCGGGCTGGGCCAGCCTAGAAAAGCACGGGCCATGGCGTGGGTCAGGCCGGCCCACAGCCCGAGACAGGTGAGAGAGAGAGGCTGAGAGGGAAGGAGAGGACAGGATCTGGAGGAGGCTGGAGGAGCTGCTCGAGCTGGATCCGGAGGAGGCCGACGTCCTCGAGCTGGATCCGACGCCCTCGAGCTGGATCTGGATCTGGAGGAGGCCTGGAGGAGCCGCTCGACACCGGTGTGCTCGACGTCGCCTCGCTGGAAAGTCGCCGCGTGCGGTGCGATGTAGCTGTGCGTGGGACGTGGAGGAGGCGGCCGGTGGTGTGGGTGGCGCAGAGGATGTTGCTGGTGGATGCCTGGACGGTGGTGCGGGGGGCGGTGGACGCCGCGAGCGCTCAGCGAGGACCGAGGAGTCGCGACCGCGAGCGATAGAGCCGAGAGGGAGTGCGGCGGCCTCGGGGGGCAGGGGGACGGTGAAATGAAGTTAGGGTTGGCTGAGAGAGGCGAGGTGGGCTCTTAACAGACCTTGGTGGCCACCGGGCCAACATCGTGCCTCCTTGTAAATGTCGGGCCGAGCCGTGGCGCCCAGCATGCCTGAGTAGCGGCCCAGGCATGGCCCTATGTGTCGGGCCAGGCCAGCCCGGGCCCGTAAAACACCGTGTCATGCCGTGCTCGTGCCGGGCTAAAATTGCGGGCTTCGTGCCGTGCCAACGGGCTGCGGGCTGCATGTACATCTATACTACCTGTGCCTGCATGTGCCTGGACACGTACAGTAGATGATGGCCACACAAAAAATTTAAAAACATGCATATAATAGAATAAATAAATTTATGCGTATCACACGTTCATAATTTGAGATTAAATGAAGCGGAGGCGGTGTGGCACTTCGTTACGTGAAATTAGCACAGGGGCAGTTCATCCTTTCAGGCCTCGTTTGGAAGACCCAATCCACGGGGTTTCCCCGCCTTTTCCCTGGGCCAGTCCCCTGCGCGGATTTCAGCCCGGTGTAGAAGCGCCCTTGCATTTGGAAACCCATCACTCGGGAGAGGGCGACCCGAGCCCCGTACTTTCCCCGGGGCGCCTCGTCCCACACGCAGGGGTCTGGGCGGCTCTTCCCCGACTCGAGCGAGTGAGCGAGCGAGCAAGGGCGATGAAGAGGAAGCACCGCCGCCGCCGTCGTCGCCCCCCATCGCCACCGCCGAGCTCACCCCACGCCGGTTTCTTCCTCATCTCCGTCGCCGGCCTCGCGACCGCCACCACCTCCGTCCGAGCTTTAAGATCTACTCCAGGTTAGCTCCAAGAACCCTTCCAAGTTCCCCTCCTAGGTCTGATTCGTATGGTGATGAGACGGGCGCGGGTAAGAGGTCGTCGAGGTTCTGTGGGAGATTATGGCGCCCATCTCCTAGATCTCCTGAATCTGCTAATTCTGAAGTTTTTTTGGTTTGATGTCAGCTCAAGTTCTAGGCCATCCTCACCGAGGTAAACTTCAGCGGCGTCAGCTCAAGTTCTAGGCCATCGTCACCGAGGTAAACTTCAGCGGCGTCAACAAGCTCGACGGCTGCTTGCTGATCTGGTATGTGCTCAATGCTGAATGCTATTTGTGAAAGGGTTGATGCAGGATCGTGTGATTTGATTATTCATCGTGAAGAGAGGGTTGTGCTGCTGTGATTTGATTGTTTACTCAGTCTTGAGTGTATAAAAAATGTACTGTTTAGGATTATGTTTGTATTTTGATGTTGCACAAAGGAAAATAGTTCATTATTAGATTATGTTTGGTGAGTTGCAAAGGCCTAGTAAGTATTTTTTTAAAGACAAATTGTGACACTCTTTAGTTGCCCAAAACATATCTTGATATCTAGATAGGTTTCTAAATAGTTCAGTGAGAGCTAAAATAGAAGACTGCATGCAGTTTTCTAATCCCACTACACTAGACCAAAACAAATGCGCTTATCAGCCAACTATAATGCGCCTAGGAGTTTTCTTTCCTAATACATGAAATTTCTCAGAGCCAACAGTCTGCTGCAAATATAGATATTTCCCAGAAGATTGTTGTGCAGATGTCATTCTGCAAGCGCGATGAGAAACTATAATGTCTGCTGCATAGATTAACTATCACAAGATTTTTGTAATGCAAGCGAGTTATGTATTTTTTTTCTACACATGATAATTCTCAAGCTATTTCAGAATTAAACGGAGACAAAGGCACGTTTTCTTTCAACGAATCCATGACACTACAGTATGAAACACTGAACAGGCAACATCTCAGTAGTTTTTTTGCACAAATGGTTCAACTTAGATCAATCTATATCTAACGAAGAAAGTTGTATTCTGTTTCTGTAGTAGTAGTGGTAGTAGAGACTAAGTACATTCACAGAGTGGTCTAGTGTAGCAATGCTATTTGCTGTGGAAGAGAGATGCATTTCCTGTTACATTTTGGAATTAGCATTGAAACGCTGAAGAAAGCATTCCAACACAGCGGTGAGACAATTCATAGGAAAGTCAATGAGGTCTTCGATATAAAGTGCAAGAAAGTGGTAGTGGAAAAAAACGCAAGCAAAGTCAAATGGCAGCTAAAC